TTACCGCTCCGTTCACGTTTTGTCCTGCTTCAGCTTCTTTCAGCTTCCTGCTGACAATTTAAACTTCTTTCAGCCAAATTCAATTGTTTTTCAACTGTTTTCTGCTCCTTTCAGATTCTTTCTGCTAATTTCAGCTTATTTTTCACTCAACCTTTATTTCTACAGGTTAGTCTCGTTGAGCCTCGAGGCCTCGTTTACAAGAGAGACCTGGTTTAAACAAAGAATGAGGACAACAGTGGACAATCATAAAAGAAAGCTTATAAAGTGAAAAAATAAATGGAAGCAAATATTAAAAACACAAAAACAGCTACAATGTAAAGCGATGTCAAATACTAAAACTGGATGATGACGGGTCACCCATCATCAGCGATGTGTCCCTGGGACATTGTGGACTCCTGCTGTTCTAGTCTGTGATGCACTTAATGTCCCTCCACATGCTCCGTGGGTCCTGTGAGGTCAAATGTCCCTGGATCTTCTTGCATATGTTGCTTTGGCTCTCTTTATACCAGCAGCTCTTTCCTCGTCCTCCCCAGTTCCTGTGAGCTGCCAGACCTGAAGGCAGTATCCCTGGCTTTCAGCAGGGTGCGGACCTCTGAGTTCAGCCAGGGTTTCTGGTTCGGGTACTTCACAGTCCTGGTGGTGGTGACATCATCAACACACTTGCTGATGTAGCCGAGCATTTTTGCAAGTTTCTGCTTTTTCTGCTATTTCAGCTACTATATAGCTGTTTGTATGCTGATTTATGTTTTTATAATAATAATAATAATAATAATAATAATAATAATAATAATAATAATATGTTATGTGTCGTCATCTTTGTTTGTTCTCATACAATGATGAAATTGTCTCTCTGCATTTAACCCATCCGCCCCCAGGTGGAGCAGTGGGCAGCTGCAGGGAGCATTATTGGAGATGGGGTGTTCTGCTCAGAGACACCATGTGCAATGATGGGGGTTGAACCTGGGACTTCCTGTCCTGAGTTGGCTGCCCTGCCTCTGCCCCGTCACGTCCTAATTCCACATTTTTGGTCCTTCTTTCTGCTTCTTTCAGCCTAAGTGAGCAAACACGTGTTCTTCCTGCTTTCTTCTGCTAATTTAAGCTTGTTATACCTTTTCAGCTACTTCTTTTTAGCTTATTGTTTTTCTAATTTCAGCTGTTTTCAGATAAAATTAAGGTTTTGTGCTAATTTCTGCTACTTTAAATCTAATTAACTTCTTTATACCAATTTCAGTTAGGGACCGTGGGTACATTGGTAGAAGGATGTTAGAAATGCAGCTGCAGGAAAAAGACGAAGAGGAGACACATGGATGCAGTTAGAGAGGACACAGAGGACAGAGTGAGGACAGAGGACACAGAGGACAGACTGAGATGGAGGAGGAGGACTCGCTGTGGCGACCCCTGAAGAGGGAAAAGCCGAAAGAAGAAGAAGCAGAAGATATTAATTTCAGTTTGTTATGCTCCTTTCAGCTTATTTCTGCTAGTCTAAGTTATTTCAGCTACTGCTACTATTTTATGCTATTTTTAGATTTTTCAACTAATTCCACTTTTTTTTTTTTTTTTTTTTAGCTAATTTCATCTCTTTCCTTCTGGTAGTTTAAATTTCTTTCTGCCTTTTCAACTACTTTTCAGCTATTTTTTGCTCTTTTATGCTTTTTTTAGCTAATTTCCTAATTCTTTTTCTCATTTCTGTTTATTTAAAAATTCAGCAAATATGTCTTTCTTCTTTCTTCTGCTAAAACATGTTCTTCCTTTTCAGCTACATTTCAGTATGTTTGTAGCTAATTTTAGCTGTTTTTCAGCAAGTTCTTCTGCAATAAGTATTCACAGCATTTGATCAGGAAATGTAATTTCTCTAGTTGTGAATTTAGTTTCTCTCATTGGACCAGAGGCGGAAAAGACTGATCAGGATCTGCTCTGCTCCCAACACAATGACAGGAAGTGATGTCACCGGCCTCGTCTTGGGGCTGCAGGCCGCCTGACCTCAGGTCTGCTGGTCTTTAAGGTCCACGGGCAGCCAGCTAACAAACAGCTTTAATGAGCAGAACGCGCTGCAGATGTAAAATGGTGACGTCCACGTCGGAGATGTGTTTACAGCTCGGTGTCTGCTGGAGGCTTTGGATGGAATGTTGCCTGCAAGAGTCTCAAGTGTTCATTTATCTCTGAACTGTTTCTGTTCCTTTGAAAGGCTCTGAGAACAGTTTGACCTCTTGGTGACCAACATGAACATTAGACATGTGATAAATCTTTTGACAGACAGAGGAACAGCTGCTGGATGTTCATGAAAACGAGCAAATGAACAAGTATCAGATCCACATCCGTCTCTGTCCAGCAGAACCTTTTCATGTTTTCATGTTTCTGAAGCGTGCTACCTGTGAGTTTCAAAGCGCCAGCTGTAGGTCAGTCCTCGCCTGGCCTGGGCTTGAACCCTGCAGAACCGGCTTCAGGAGGAACGCCGGGGAACCAACATCAACATTTTGCTTGGCATGCTTCCAGTATCGTGAACTATGGGGAGCGCAAGGGAATGGAAAAAGAAATAAAAGGAGGGGGAGCAGGAAAGTGGTATTTTTAACTTCTGCAGAGTGTCACAGAGATGTGAGGAGCTCTCTGCCAGAAGCAGCTTGTGATGTCACTCACTTCGCCTCAGCTCCCCGTTAGACCACGAGCGGTGGTAAATACCACCCGTCTGTTCCGCTCGCCTCGTCTACGTACAAAAACAAGAGAGGCCATGAGTGTGAGCTGCTCTCCATCACGAGACTGTTGATTCAGCTGCAGCCAGAATATCTTCTGTCACTGGGCCTCGCTGCAGTCATGACTCAATAAGGCAGGAAATCAGCGCCGGGCGAGAGTAAAAAAATAAAACCCCTCACATCGGGGCTGAGTCTGATGAGAGCATGAGCAGAGGTCAACCTGCCCCGGGGGGCTCCTTCTGGGCTCCAGAGTCGAGCTTCAACGTCTGTTCAAGAGCTCCCCGGAGATCAGGGAGTGTGATGTTCAGAAACCTTCAGGATGAGGAGGTTTGGGTTAATCTGCTCTCCATGAGAAGCTCAGCCGCCTCAGTCGATGAGTAAAAAACACAAACGTGCTCATGTGCTGTAACACACGTCACATTCAAATATTTCTGAGCATGAAGAATGCACCAGAAGCGATGGGTCAACGCCCGTTAACTTTCAAGTTTCCAATGTGTTTTATTTTTAGCAGAAACATCAATCAGAGTTCAAACAGGTCACATGACTGAACAGGCTTTAACAGTTTCTGTGATTGTGGAAAAGGCTCTTTAACTCTTCAAACAGGAAATGAAGGCAATTTAACTCTTCAAACTGGAAGTGAAGGTTCTTTAACTCTTCGAACTGGAAGTAGAGGCTCTTCAACTATTCAAACAGGAAGTGAGAGCTCTTTAGCTCATAAAACAGGAAATGAA